GCGCGTGCCCTCCGCGCGTGCTCTCCGCCCGCAGCGCAGTCGCGGCCTAAGCCACGCGCAGGAAGGGTCGGCCTTCCTGCCGCAGAGGCCCCACGTTATTCGGGAATCCTCCCGCCACAGGGACAGCATGTCCTGCCCCGTACTGCCGTCGGAATGTTTGTGTCCCCTTAAAATCCCCACGCTGAAGCCAATCCCCACGGTGACAGCCGGAGGACGTGGCGCCCTGGGAGAAGACAGGGCAGAGCCTCGTGCACGGGACTACCAAAGGAGGCACCAGGGAGTCCTCGTCCCATCGGGCACGTGAGGGCACACGAGGAGACACTGTCTGTGACGGCGCGGGAGAAATCTGCCGGCGCCTTGATCTCGGGCCTCCGGCTTCCAGCGCTGCCGAGCCCTTACAGACGTCTGTTCTTCAGAAGCCACCAGTCCCCGGCGCTGTCAGAGCGCCTGCACAGACGAGACGCCCGGGGAGATCCTGGTTCGTCCGGACAGATCGCGCCCGCCCCGTCTCCCGAGCGGGCGGGCAAATGGGAGGGGTCTGCAGGGCGTTTCTGAGACGCCCCCCTGCTCGGGGTGCCCAGGCTGGCAGGCGCTGGCCTGTGTGTCTAGCCAGCAGCTAGCCCAAGGGTGGCAGGACAGATGGGGGAACTTTAGTCCCCCACAACATTGCTGAGCTGCTGCTCTGTGAAATCATACATTAGGTTGTTCGAGCCAGTTTAAGCCAGAGCTTTATGTTAGTTACAACTGAAAGTAACCTGACTGATGCAGCCAGAGAAAAGCTATTTCTGCAAAATGTGTATTAGATTATATCCATGCCTCACCAGGAACAGTGGGCTTTTAGATTAGTGACTTTTAGATTGTCACAGTAATTGGTGGGGAGATGTCCTGCAATGCATAGGACTGTTCCACAAAATCATCATCTCACATTCTGCAAGATTCTAGAATGTTCTGCTATATAGCCACTACAAAGTCCAAAGTAGCCAGCACAAAGTATCTTTGCATAGGCTTAATATACTCTTATCACATAAATCTAGGGACTTATTTTCTTTTTATTGTTAGAACAATAAGACTTGGGCACCATTTTGGAAAATCACCTGGCATTTTGCAAAGCTGCTAACCTTTGGGTCTCAAATGCAGTCCACCATATTTGTCCATTTGTTCACATTGACACTGTTGATTTCCAGTGACGCTCTGTACAGCACTGTGCCTTCTGATACAGAGCTACCTGAGCATTTAGTAACTGATCATTATATTTTTAAAATTATGTTTATAAGTGGGTTATATTAGCAGTGCATTTCTTCCATGGGCTGTTACAGAATCTTTTTCAAAGGAGATGATGGTAGTGATGGTTGCAAAAGTGTATACATATGCAAAACTGATCGACTCATACCATTACAATATACACTTCTTTTATACCTCCATAAAGTTGGGGAAAACTGGGGTCTTGGGTCTGATAAAGTTGAAAACCACTAGATTAGATAATCCATGACGGCTTTCCTAAATCTTCAAATTTCAGAAAACACAGTTACTGTTGGATAAGGAATCTTGGGTCACAAACTATAAACAGGTAAACAACTTCCATGGAGAGCATAGATTGGCCTGTTTCAGTTTCAACTTTCACTGAAGTATGTTAAGTGAAAAGACACTTGACAAATATTGTTTGACTAAAAAGGCTGAGCATTCTGTCTCATACTACTGGACCATCCTTTCACTCTGCCAAAAATAGTTCTTGGGAAATCTGAATGTGGAAAATCACTGTCAGATCCTCTTTAACCCCACCCCCAAATCTGATCCCAATTACTGCATAAACTCCACTTCTCTTCTGTTTAAGTTGATTTGCGCTTAGAGATGATACATAATAGACCCAAAGCCAGTCACATGTTCCACTGGCTTTGAGAGACAATTATGTGCTTCTCTTCACAACTTCACATTGAATGCCCTTGTGTTAATAGCTTGAAATCAACCCATGGAGGAAAGCTTTAAACCACAGAAATGGACAAATGCTGTAGAGTGGGGCTTTTTACTCCTGGAAAGCTGATTGTTTAACATTTGCAGCACACCACTGCCAAGAGAATGACCAGGCACCCTCTTCACCAGATGTGCCCAGACTTTGCACTCAGCAGTCTTGTTCTTAAAATTTCACATAAATTGTAGCTTTATTTTGAATATGAGAATCTGCTTCTCTGTTAACAGAAGATTGGAGATGTATACTAGGACCCTGACCTTTTCTAAAAGCTTTCTGGATGGCTGGTAAAAAGATGGGTTCATGAACAGGTGAATGGCAAAGAAGTAACATGTTACCAAATATGCACGTGTATGTGTGAAAGCTGGCTCGAAGTCAAAGCTAACAAACTCAGGCTCCAACTGAGGTCTGACATGGATGGCACCATTGTTGGAAGTTCATTAGCGCTCTCTTACCAAATGGGTTGGCAGTAGGCTTGCTTTCCACTGGCATGGGAGAGTTAAGAAAGAAACTGCCAACAAGTGTTTTGGCCAACCAGATTACAATCGGCCACTCCACCTGAACCTGGTGTCTACACATCATTTCAATTAACACCTGGAAGCTTCCAGCACTGGGTAGGATGCAGATGAACAGATCCAGACTTGGGGGAAACATGTTAAGGCGCCAGGCCTCGGGCTCCCAAACAGACTGCAGCCCTGGGAGGTGAAGGAAACCCACATGTAAGGAGTGTGCCCCGGGGCATAACTGCACTGACAAATGCAGACACTCTGTAGCCCACAGATCCTCCCAACACAGGGAGAAGGCACGAAAACTGTCCAGGCATCTGGGACATGCTGTGGAACTTTCCCTTGTGGCCCCCTTAGGGATCCTCCGCACTCTCCTCTCCCTCTGTGGCCTCCTCGCCTCCCTCAGGCACGACACGCATACTCGTAGGAGTTCTCCGCCAAGCACCAGGTGCCCTCACGCCCTCTCCACTCCACGCTAAAACCTGCTCCCAGAAAAGGATCTGATGTCAGCTGTCCCTTGCCCATGTCAGCCCAGCCACACCGAGCAGAAGAGACATCAGTCTGCTACAGCACTGTGCTGGCAGGACCATAGGCTGGGGTGTTACTCGCCCCCGGGAGGGTCTGAGTCGCTGTACAACAGTTCGGCTTCCTCTGCCTCGTTGTGAGGTTAACGTGCTGTGAGGAATTTTCTGGTTACTTTGTGGGTAGGAATGATTGGCTCCAGACAAAATCAATCACTCCTGAGTTTGATTTCTGTAAACAATGAGTTTGTTGTCTTTCTTCTGTACGGCCGGGCTGGCGGCGTGGGGAGGAAGGCTGTTGGGGAGTGTGTTGCACTCAAAAGATGTTGGATGCATTAAAAAAGAAAGACAGCAAAAAGCAAAACATTACAATCGACAACTAGGATTTGGACTATTTCTTCTCAGAAACAATTCTTGGGAATAGAAAGTTGGAGCCATCCTGCTGGTGGAGACGTTGGACGGGGACTTGGGGAGTGAGTGCTGCGGGGAAGGCCCGTGCTCGCAGTCAGCCCAGAGCAGGATGGGTGAGACTCTGCCAAATTAAAGGACTAGGACTTCTCCACCTACCTCCACTTCCATGCACTCACCTGCACAGGTGCCTTTTATTGATAGAAACTTTTGTCTTCATCCATACAGCTCCAAATAGCCCTGGGGATTTGCTTGAAGTGGTTTAATCAGGATTTTTTTTTAATTTGGAGGAATTCATAATGTTATTTGCCTTGGACCTTAAAAATACCATGTTATGGTAGAAAAAGCATAAACCCCAGTGGCCATTAGATAAAAATAAAACCTCAATAAATTCCAAAAGTAGAAAGCACACAGGTCGTGTTTGTTATCTGTCATGTGTATGTGAGAGAGAGAAAATTTTAAAAGGTAAAATCCTCATGACTTTCATTAAATGAACACATCAGAGATTTTGTTTACATCATTAACCAATGAGGGAACCAGTGAGATACTTATTATAATCAGTTCAAAATAAAATTTAACAGAGAAAGAAAGAGAGAGAGAGAATGACAAATGTTAAACTCATAAATTGATATAAAGTATGTCAATATCCACAGGGCCAATAATTAATTGCATCACCACTGGACGTAATTCTTCATTTCTTTGGTCAAGAATTATTTGCATTATTATTCAACTGAAGTTCTTCAGAGTTCTAAAGTAGCTCAAAGACAATGAAAATCAGAGGTAATCTAGAAGGGTGAGCTACACAGGACACCCAGTAATCTTTTGGCCCATTTCAAACTTTTCAAAAAATGTTTCCATATACCAGGTGTGCCCAGAAAGCATCTAGCCATGTAATAAGAAAAATAGAGACATTTATTGAAGATGCAAGAAACACTGTACAGAAGACAATGGCACCTCAGTTCCCTTCAAAGTAGGCACCTTGGGACCTCACACAGTTCTCCCAGCATCTCTTAACCTGACCTGCACACGTTCACATTCTCAGGTGCTCTGCCTGCTGCAGGCCTTCCAGAATGTCAGTCACTTTCAGCAGACTCTCGACCATCTTTGGAGAATTTGTCCCACACTTATTTGTGCTACACTCATTGCATCGTCCCCGAAAGCCTTCTGAATCATCTGAATTGTTTCCGTGCTCAAGTTTAACACAAAATTTGATGCAGATTCACTGCTCTACTCACTTATTTTGAACACGACGGCCACACAATGCACACACTCACGCAACAGTGTCTAGTGCCCCACTGACCAGTACCGTGAAGTCATCATTGTTGTTCACATATGCACGTCCCAGTCCACGCTCCCTGGCTGCCAGGTTACATCGATGTCGTGTAAACCATTCTGGTTTTGTTAACAGTGGCTGGATACTTTCCGGACAAATCTCATATATGTGTCAGTATGTAATGTTTAATTGAATTTATGCATCCCTGGGCAAAAACTACTTATTGTTAGAATAAAAAAGAACTCAGCAATTATTCTTTTATTAATTTTGGTTTTACACAGACAAACACAAAGAAACCTTGTTCACATAAACAAGTAGATGGTTAAATGAAGAATTTGTTAAAGTGATACCATTCTATTCTTTGAACTTTTTCTGAGTTGTATGCCAAAAATTACATCATGATCAATAATCAACATCATTTTTAATGATCCACTGGCTTCCTATCTGATTAAATCTTCCTTTGATTTTTACTAAAAGCAAGGTATGATATTAGAAATAATCTGACTTGTCATTTGTTTTCTCAATGCCAATATTTTGAATTGCTTCCTTGTTGGTCCGAGGACTTTCGCCTCCCACTGCAATGCACCGCTGTAGGAGGTCGAGGCCTGCCGCTCCTCTGCACCGCGGCAGGAGCAGCTAAGACGGGGGAGGAGGGAAAAGAGAATGGGCATTACTTACACATGGTGTTCTATCACTCCTGGTGGCTGGCACATAAGACGATTTTTTAGAAAATTAACAAAAACAACCAAATGAATGAATAAATAGGTGTCCAAGAAAATTTACTATAAAACAAACAAAGCTCAAGCTTCACAGGGAAGTGTCAACAGGAGCATATATTTCTTGAGCAGGCCCTCACACTGTGCTTATATGTTCATATGTAATAGAATTTTCAAAAGGAAGATACTTTAACGCAATGAATTAAGGTCTTTTTCCCTACTTCCTTCCCATCCATCACATTTCAGCTCGGCAGGGTGAGCTGGGGTGGCTGTAGGCCATGTGGGACCCAGTAAGGGGACAGCTGAGTTGGGAATTTAATTAGTTTAGGTTTCATGAAATAACTTCCTGTGACGTCCAGACACTTTTCTGCACTGTTAAGTGATTGCTAATTATTCCAATGTAGGGAGGGCTCCTAGGAATGTCCCTGTAGCACACTGTGTCTCTCACACAGCACTGAGACTTAGAGATCAGGCCCAGAGATAAGAGTGTGTCCTGCAGCTCCCTGCTGTGGGTAGCAGAGGAGAAAGAAAATCCTCCAATCATCAATTATGTAAAACTGTACGCACAGGCCATCAACATCTTGTCAAAACAAAAGTTCGTTATGCTTTTTTTCTTTTTTGATGGGAATAGCATATTTAATAAAATATGAACACATTTTTGTCTGCGATTTAGAAAGATGAAACATTTTAATAAAACAAATGAAGCCTTAATTGGATGTATATGAAAGATGTCTTATTTTGTCAAGCTTAAATTTATTAAGGAACTGAGAGAAAAATTCACATTAAATTCAATGAAATTTGAACAAAAGTAAAAAGAAAGATGTGTGATGGAATTAAAGGAATTATTTGATTTATAGAACTGAATTTTAACAAAAAATGTCCAGATCATTCAAAAAGTAATTCATCAAAAAGAACAGATAAATTAAGTCAAAATCATGAATAAGCCATTGGATTATTGGAAAATCTAATCAATGAAGATGCAAGAATCTTATGAATATATTAGGAATAAGATTTAAATGTCATAGCTTTGCTCAGCCACAGTATCGTAACCAATGAAACGAAAGATAAAAGATTTCAATGTCTTAATTTGAGACAAATTAGTTATATCAATGAAAACAGTGAGAAAAGAAAAGAACTTTTAACAGTAATGCAAATCCTTTTAATTATCAGGCCTAGAGAGACATTAAAATGAGTCTACAGTCATGTCCTACTCCCCTCCTTCAGGCTACGTACTCATTTCTGGAAACTGCTTGGTATTGCCATAATTAACTGTAAATTAGCCAATAATCCCACAGCAGACACTAAAACCCACACTGTATAGCTTAACAATGTATAGCCAATCAGTAATCAATGTTATTTCTGTAAACAAATGAGAATTCATGACAGATGACTTTGTATCAGCCCACTCCCTGGCCCCCTTTTTGCCTTTAAAAATCCACTTGTAACTGCTGCTAATTAGAGTGCATATTGAGGGCCACTTGAATCTATGCTCCAAGGTTGCAACTCTTAAGTTTTGCCCAAATAAACTCGCTCTGTAAATATAGCTTTCTACTTATAATAGTTTTGCCTCAGCTTTGTAAAAGAAAATAAAAATATCAGGACCCCCTCTAACTCCCTATGCAAAAGGGAAGGTAAAGGCCTCAGGCACCTGTGAAGGGACCCCACAGGTCATTCATTAAGGAAATTTTTTGCTGGCCTCCCATAACCAAGGATGTGTAAATTATAACTTTAGATCCCCAGGCTATCTAGCTCCTAAAACTAAAGTCTATTGATTCCACACTAATAATGAATTATACGTTTATCTTCCCAGGTGCGGAACAGAGACAAGATGGGATCAAACATTCTTCCACCGACCCAAAAGCAGCTGCATAATGGATGCTTCCTTCACTCCCTTTTTCTCTTCTAACATTCACCTTACCTTATGTAAAGTGTAGATTTTCCTGGGCCTCACAAGAATGTAACCATTTTGTCTCACTACCCATCCACCTCCTGCTATTTTTTTTTTCCTTTCTGTATCCTCTACTCCCGTTAAATGCTGAAACTTCCAAATTCACTTCCAGAAAAACAGCCACAGATTTGTTTGTGGTTTGGGTTTTTCCCAGGCACGTCCTCAACTTTGGCCTAATAAACCTCCATTGATTGAGATCTTTGCCTCAGTCACTTATTTTAGGTTGTCAGATTCTTCCTTTTAGATCAACAATAGCATAAAACTTACAAAAGGTGGCTATAACAGCCACTGACTAAAATAGCTACTGCAAGTCATCAATTCAAAGAATGTGCTTAGTCATTGACCAAAAAAATAACTAAAATGCCCTGAAATCTTACAGTTCATATATGATAAAAGTTTTCCCAAATTTTGACAACAGTCTTTTTTTTTTTTTTTTTTTTGAGACAGAGTCTCACTTTGTTGCCCAGGCTAGAGTGAGTGCCGTGGCGTCAGCCTAGCTCACAGCAACCTCAAACTCCTGGGCTCGAGTGATCCTTCTGCCTCAGCCTCCCGGGTAGCTGGGACTACAGGCATGCACCACCATGCCCGGCTAATTTTATATATATATCAGTTGGCCAATTAATTTCTTTCTATTTATAGTAGAGACGGGGTCTCGCTCTTGCTCAGGCTGGTTTTGAACTCCTGACCTTGAGCAATCCGCCCGCCTCGGCCTCCCAAGAGCTAGGATTACAGGCGTGAGCCACAGCGCCCGGCCATTGACAACAGTCTTAAACTTTACTTAATATGACCAATACTGACTTGAAAAGTGAAAGTAAAAAAATTTTTCTGGGCCAGGCTTGATGGCTCTCGCCTATAGTCCTAGGATTCTGGGAGGCCAAGACAAGAGGATTGCTTGAGGTCAGGAGTTCGAGATCAGCCTCAACAAGAGCAAGACCCCATCTTTACTAAAAATAGAAAGAAAGTAGCCGGGCAACTAAAAAAATAGAAAAAATTAGTCAGGTGTGGTGGTGCAGGCCTGTAGTCCCAGCTACTCAGGAGGCTGAGGCAGAAGGATCACTTGAGCCCAGGAGTTTGAGGTTGCTGTGAGCTAGGCTGATGCCACAGCACTCTAGCATGGGCAACAGAGTAAGACTGTCGCAAAAAGAAAAAAATTATAGACTTTCAAAAATTAAAACTACAATTTAATCAACCATATTAAAATAAAGTCTGAATTATTTTTCTGTTCTCTCCACAGAAAATAGTGCTACAAAACCCTTATGTTATAAGGAGGTAATCAAAGAGGGTACAACCACAATAGGTAGGGAAAATTGTTTTTATAGCCATGTTATGAAGATAATAAATTATATATACATGTGTATGTGTGTGTGTGTGTGTGTGTATATATATATACATATATATATATATGGAGAGAGAGAGAGAGAGAGAAAGACATTTAAGATTTGTTTCAGATTTTTTACATTTGTAATTTGTTTGGAAAGTTCTTAATCATATTGCTTCCTACAATATGGTGAAACATACAGACATATATTTGGTCTTCTTTCCAATTTCTGACATATGGCTTCAAAAATCCTTGAAGTCTCTGGAGTGAAGGGAGAGCCTTTTGTCTCCTAATGAGATGATTGTGGAACCCTAAATAGCCTCATCGTGGGGGCTCACTGCCAGGGGAACCAACCACTCATTAGAGGCTTGGAACTTTTAGCACCATCCCCCACACTCTTCATCCTCCTCCCCCACCTCTGGGGAGGAGAGAGGGGCTGAAGGTTGAGTTGTTCACCAATGGCCAATGATCCAATCAATCACACCTATGTAAGGCAGCCTCCATGAAAACACAAAAGCATTGAGTTCTGGGGTCTTTGGACAGCTGAACATGGGGAGGTTCCTGGGGGGTGGTGTATGCAGATGGAAGCCCTGTGCCCCTTCTCCCATACTTTGCCCTCTGTGTTTCTTCTGTCTTGCTGTTCGCCTCTATCCTTTGCAATGAATGAGCAAGTGTTAGTCAAGTGTTTCCCTGAGTTCTGCGAGCCACTCTAGTAAATTAATTAAACCCAAGGAGGGGTTGTGGGAAGCTGGGTTTATAGCTGGTTGGTCAGAAGTACTGGCCATCCCCCAGCCCCGCATGCTTTCCATCGCATCAGAAGTGGAGGACGGTCTTGTGGGCTCTCAACCCGCAGGGTCTGATGCTATCTCCAGGTAGACAGTGCCAGAATTGAATTGAATTAGACGACGAACAGCTGGTATTCCCTGCAGAACTGCCTGGTTTGTGGGGAACAATTCCACAAACCTGGGGTCACAAAAGTGTTCTGTGTTGTCAGAGTATAGTAGGAGAAACCGAGTTTGTTTTTTCCTACATCCTTACACTTCCAGAATTTCTTTTGCGTAGTCTCTCCTCTTTTGCTGATGTTCAACTTTATTACCATATCCTCTCTCACTGACTCTGCTGTATTTTTCCATTCTTTGTCTTATGATGTTTTCTTCTAACCTTGGTTCCAGTTTACTAAATCTCTCCTCAGTTATGACTAATCTGCTGTTAAATCCATCCACTGAGTTCTTAATTTTGATTATGAAAGTTTTCAATTTTGGAATTTGCCTTTGGTTTTTGTAGCATATTTATTATACCCTCCCATGTCTGCCAAAGTTCTTAATATTGTCTTTTATCTCCTTGAACACAGTAAAAGTAGTTATATGAAAGTTTGTATTTCTATTAGATTTTTCTATTTAATTTTCCTATATCTGTTAAAATTTGTACTATCACTCTCTGAGGTCTTTGTGACTCTGTTGCTATTGTTAGTTGTTTCAACTAATGTTTGTACATGTTGTCTCATCTCCTAGGAAGTGTGGTCATTTCTTTATTGAATGATAGATATTGTGACCCAAAATTGGTCGTGGAAATAATTTGAGGCTCAGGTGCTAACAAGATTGTGAAGAATTACTGGGCCAGGGTTCAAAAGAGAAAACTGAACTCAGCATTGGAAGTCCCTTTTTCCCTGGAGACAGTTGCCTGTTCCTAAGGGCAGAGCTGAGAGGCTGAGTGAAGCCACTAATGGCTTGCTTCATGGGGCAAGGAGACACACATGGAGTTGTGAAGGGGTGTATGTGTGCATGTGCATGCAAGCATGTGTGTTTGTGTGTGCATGCACATGTGTACCTGTGCACCTAGGACACAGCCCTTGGGCCCCAAGTCAAAGCAGGTGGAAGACTGGGATACACGTAGTTGAGATTATATTTACACATTTCATCACTGCTTCCAGGGACAGTGAAATCTTCGCTGCCATCCTGGTGCAGACACTGCTTCCAGGAATGCTCAGAAAGCCCATTCTGGTGACACACCAAACATGGTCTGTCTAAACATGCTCCAGAGTGCCTGGGACTGGAAGTACCTGAGGAGGAAAAGAATAAAGATTTGAAAAAGATGGAGTCAGAAGCCAGTCTGTGGAAAAGTTTTCCAAATCTTACAGCTAATGTGAAAAATATTTGATAGAAGTTATCCAAAATTTCATGACAACACTAAATTTACATGACATTATCAATAATGAGTTGGAAAACTGAAATTTTTCCAAACTATCAATAGCAAACAAATTTTTATCAATTGTGCTAGAGGAAAGACTGAATTATCTCACTATTCTCTCTACAGTAATGACATTACAAAACTCCTTAAACAGGAAAAGGCAATCAAAGAGGATGCAACCAAAAATATTAGGAAAAAAGAAAGTATGAAGGTGGGTTGGACAATTAAGTAATAAAATAAAAATGATATTTTCTTGGATTTCATGCTGTTTGTGGTATTTTATAGGCTTTAGAAGTTTGTAATTCGTTGTGATTTCTCTAATCTTTCCAAATAATAACAAATCTACACTTAATTTTGTAATTTTCCTTTTTACAAGAGGACTCCCCAGTTGTGTAAGCTCGGGCCCCTCTCGGCCTGGATCTGTATCAACGCATATGTTGTAAAGGCTTCTTGTCACAGTTATTTCAGAAGAGATTCTGTGGCTCTCATCATGGCACTTATACTCCCTGTATTTCATTTCAGTCATCTATAAAACGAAGGAATTAGCCTGAAACGTCTGAGACCTGTTGCAGCTCTAAGGGCGCTGGCTCTGTGATGCGCGACTCTAGAGGCAGAATTCAGTGGGGCTTTCCTCACTGTGCAACCTTGTAAAATTACGAATCCTCGTTTGACAGATGAGAAAAAAATGACCCAGGATGAAAAACAGCACATACACAACTACAGAACTCCAAAAGGGGATGACTGAGATAAAAACCAGAGGTGTGAACAGAACAGCAGGTGGCCAATCTGGCCACCTCCTAGGGCAAGGTGCTGGGACATCTGGGCAGGACCTCGGGGAAGGTGGCCAAGGACGGCTTTGCAACTCAACTCAATACCATCTCAAGGGTATAAAATGGTTAACCAAAGAAAATAGAAGGGAGAATTTCTTTGGACAAAGTTTTTAGAGTGCAATGCCATTTTCTTTATCCATACCCAGAGATTTGGAGTTAGTATTTTTACATAGATGTATGCCTTTGGATTATTCAAATTAAACTGTTGTGGTGACTGGAAGTGACCAGAAGAGGTTTTCTTTTCTTTTCTTTTTTTTTAAAATCTATGGTGATTAGATAAATCACAAGATTTAACCCAGATTTTACCCTGAGTAAAAAAGAAGCAACATAGCTGGCTTGCAGGGGCAGTTATGAAAAGCATAAAAGTGCTCTATGTTTGTCATTAAGTTCCACTCTTAATGCTTAAAAAATACTTGAGACAGAAATGTTATATAAACTATTCAGTGCTTTACAAATTGTAGTTTGAATTACATTAGAAATGAGTCACCAGATCAATGAATTCCATACTCAACAGATTTCATAGATATGTAAAATTTAGAAACATTTTGAGAGGTTTGTTATTAGGTTAACAAATATCTATTTTGCCAAACAAAATCATTATTTTAAAATCCTACCATCTAAAATCACTAACATTTCATAAGAGGGAGAAAATGTTCATACCAAAAAAGTAGGAAAAGATGTAACAACATACTAGCAGAATAAAAAAATAATAAATAATAAATGTACCTTTATGTAATACATTTACCTTTATGAATGCTGACCTCACAGTTGTTTTTCCCCATAGGTAAGTGAAAACTCTGTGATAGGCCTGGGCGTGGGATCTGTGCTTTAAATGCTTATTGAGGCATTGCTTGGTTGTGGCATTTCAGCAACCAGAAAAAAACATGATGGTCCTTTCACTTTCAAAGCTATTTAAACTGGTATGAACCACAAACTGAGATACAAACCCGGTCAATCTCTTTTATTTTCTCACATAATAAGTCAAAACATAAAACAACATCACTCTCCTAAGTAGCCCCTTTCATAACTGTCCATGAACCCGAGACTTACTGGGTCCAAGGACAACGGCAGCTCAGGAGAAGCCATCAACGCGCCGCTGCAATCGCTTCTGCTGCCACGTGGCGCCGCTGCGGAAGCTAGTCCCGCACCGCACCCGCCGGCGAGGGCAGCCCTTCCTGAGCATCGCGTCCCACCGGCAGCACAGTCGAGGCTGAGTGGTAGCTGTTAACCATGTGCTCTTCCGTCTGGCACCTTCCAGAACACCAGCAGTTCAGGCCCGTTCTGCCACCGCCTCTCGAGGTGTGGGGCTGGCGCGGCTTGCTCCACAAGGACCACTCGGAAGGAGCGGGCAGACTTCCCTTTCCCTCGCCCCGAGCACACGGGGCCAGCCGCGTGCCTCCGGGTCACGCGCATCTGCCCGCCAGGAGCCGCTGAGCGCCCGTCGCAAGACGACGCCTGGGCGCCGTGGGGGCTGCAGCCCGGGCCTTCCCTGCGGGGCGGCCGCCTCTCCCCACTCCCTCCCAGCGTCTTCTCCGCTGCCCGGAGGCTCGCCCCGGAGGGGCCACGCTCCAGAGGGGGCGCCCCCCCACCCACCCCACCCCACCACAGACTCGCTCCAGAGGGGGCGCCCCCCCCCCCCCCCCCGCCACAGACTCGCTCCAGAGGGGGAGTCCCAACCCCACCCCTGCCACAGACACGCTCCAGAGGGGGAGTCCCAACCCCCACCTCACCACAGACTCGCTCCAGAGGGGGAGTCCCAACCCCCACCTCACCACAGACTCGCTCCAGAGGGGGAGTCCCAACCCCACCCCTGCCACAGACACGCTCCAGAGGGGGAGTCCCAACCCCCACCCCACCACAGACTCGCTCCAGAGGGGGAGTCCCAACCCCCACCTCACCACAGACTCGCTCCAGAGGGGGAGTCCCAACCCCACCCCTGCCACAGACACGCTCCAGAGGGGGAGTCCCAACCCCCACCCCACCACAGACTCGCTCCAGAGGGGGAGTCCCAACCCCACCCCCACCACGGACACGCTCCAGAGGGGGCACCCCCCACAGACTCGCTCCAGAGGGGACGCCCCCCACAGACTCGCTCCAGACGGGGCGTCCACCCCCACAGACTCGCTCCAGAGGGGGCGCCCCCCACAGACACGCTCCAGAGGGGGCGCCCCCCCACAGACTCGCTCCAGACGGGGCGTCCCCCTCACAGACTCGCTCCAGAGGGGGAGTCCCAACCCCACCCCGCCACAGACTCGCTCCAGAGGGGGAGTCTCAACCCCCACCCCACCACAGACACGCTCCAGAAGGGGCACCTCCTCCACCACAGACTCGCTCCAGAGGGGGCGTCCCCCCCCACAGACTCGCTCCAGAGGGGCACCCCCCACAGACTCGCTCCAGAGGGGGCACCCCCCCACAGACTCGCTCCAGAGGGGGCACCCCCCACAGACACGCTCCAGAGGGGGCGCCCCCCACAGACACGCTCCAGAGGGGGCACCCCCCACAGACTCGCTCCAGAGGGGACGCCCCCCCACAGACTCGCTCCAGAGGGGGCACCCCCCCACAGACACGCTCCAGAGGGGGCGCCCCCCACAGACACGCTCCAGAGGGGGCGCCCCCCACAGACTCGCTCCAGACGGGGCGTCCACCCCCACAGACTCGCTCCAGAGGGGGCGCCCACCAAGCCGCCCCCAGTTAGTCTCCAGACCTGCCTCCAGGGTGCCAACGGACAGCACCCGCCATTCTTCGGAAGTCCCGGCACTGCCAGGTGATTCCTCGGCGTCAAGGCAGCTTGGATAGCTACCGCACTCACAGCGGCGAGCGGCCACTGAGGAGCGGGGACGCACAGCGGTCACCGCAGCAGCAGCGGCGCTGGGCCGGCGCCTGGCCAGCCTCGCAGACTGACCGGCAGGCAGCGCTCTGCCCACGGCGGCGCGCCAGCCCTGCGGCTCTGCAGTCGGCGCTGGCTGAAGACACGCACGTAGCTGCGCTCTGGGGCAGCGTTCGATGAGTGTGTCTCCACCCTGCCATCCCCGAGTGCGGCCCATTGGTGGTTGCATTCTGTGTCAGCAAGTCTTCACTGTGAAGATGGGTCTGGTGGCACATCTCTGATCAGCCAGCTGCCCAGGCCACAGCAGCCAAGCAGGGAAGGGGTCTGTCGTGGCACTTCCTCAAACGGTGGCTCCAGTGGCACCACGGACTTGGCGACCTTCCTCATGCCATCCAGTAACCCTGGTGATGGGCAGCACAGCATGAGGGTGTAGAGCAGTAGCTCCCAAAGTGGTCCTAAACCTGCAGCAGCATCACCTGGAAAATTTTTAGGAATGCAAATTCCCAGGCCCTGCCCTAGACCCACTGAATCAGAGACTCTGGGGGTGGGGCCAGGAATCTGCATTCTACATTTTGGCTTTCAAACTCTATAGTCTGATTTTCAATACTATCACTCATTCAGGGGAAATTCTACCTTGAAGCTGTGCTTCCCTGGCCCGCTCCCCTCCCCTTGGGCATCTGAAATTATGAGGGGGTTGGCTGGACTGCTGCTCCTGCCCCTGGGGTGGAGCCCGGCCGTACGATGAGCACTTGGAAAGCACACCACCTCCCACCATGCACAGGGGTGGCCGGCGAAGCAGGTGGGCGTCCTGGTGCCCCTCCCCAGGTATCCACTGCTGACTCAGCTGTGCCCACGCTCCTCCTATGTTTTGCTTCAATGTTTTCCCAAAAGGCTGTGAGTAAAATCTTTCCTTCAGCAGTTTCCTCACAACGTGGAGAGGGAGAAAGTGAAACATGAAGGACATTTTCCCTCTGGCCCTGCCTAGAGGCCTCTGTGGGCATCCCGCAGGCAGAAGGATGGCAGGCGTGGCCCTTGTATGTAGGGGTGGCTGCTGCTGCCGGGTTCTGTCCAGTTGGCAAGACAAGGAGAGCTGCCAAGACAAGCAGCCGAGGCATGAGAACCAACAGCTCGAGATCACCGCGGTGCGAAGCGGACCAGTGAAACGAGACATTAAGGATGCTGCTTGGAATAGCTTGAATGTCGAGCATTCTTTCCCAGTGGAGGGATGAGGGCGGCCAGTGCAACAGCAGTGTGGGAGACTTGGGCAGGGGAGCACACATCGTCCTGGGGCTGAGGAGAAGTGACCAAGGCATCACCCTCAGGGAAGGAGGCAGTGCCCGCTTCTCACCCAACTGGTGCCAATGCTCCCCGCTGTCCCCATCAAAAAGTAGCATGGCTGTTAATAGGTCATACCAAAAGCGCCCTTGTAGTTTATAATCATTTTCATCTGGATTCGTGAAGAGCAACCATGAAATGTCTGTCTGGTGACTGCCAGGCCAGCCAGGCAGGTTTATATTAGCCAGTACTGACAACGGCGCAGCAATGACAGCAAGGCAGAGGATGGTTTATGGGCTTTAATGCCTGTGCTGACATGGAGGGTCGGAACAAGATTTATTTTATGCTCGGGCCATCACCAAACACTGAAAACCAGTCATTACAAGCCAGATGACAACTGGAATGCAGTAATCACTTGCAGGAATATTTATTTGGTTTTTAAGTTTTTGAATGAATCTGGTTTTCAGAAAGTGAGGGACAGCTTAGGAAGTCAGACTACGCCATTATTACATCTAAACCATTATATATTTGCTGGCCAGTTATGTGCTCCTGTATGGAAAACAAAGCCAGAAAGCAGGATAAGCCCCAAGACCTGAAGCCTCATTACTACAGGCCGTACCACCAAAACTTCCTTTGTGGTTATACATACCCTAAATATTATTAGTGGACAAAAAACCCCAATATATGTAAAGTATGGTCAGTATCATGAAATCCACAGTCCACTGTGACAGTGGATTTCACAGAAGGCAACATGCATTAGATCACTTTCCTTCTGACTCATTCTATTGGATTTCAGGTGATAAAGTAGCAAAAATAGACTGAACATTTTTAGTAAGCCCATTGTCAACCCAAAGATTTCAATTAGGTTTGTATAAACACACCGTCTTTTTTACACTAAAACCATCCCTGACATTAACATTTCTGCTCTCAAGCAAGTCGTGCCTTAGAATCAACTGTTACTTTTGACATTTTTAATGGTTCTTGCTTCTTCTAGACAAGTAAAGGTTTGACAGCAATGACCCATGAGCCATTATTTCCATAAAATATGGCATAACGCTTCCTGCATAATCTTCAATTCATTCTGTCCCATTTAACTGTCTTGTTTTTTTTTCCTTTCCAGAACTTTACACAAGCACTTTTCTGTGATAATTTTTCTCCTCAGGAAAATCCATCATTTTCCGAGTGCACCAGCAACAAGCAGCTGGTCCGATACACAGCCCACTCGCCCCCATGGTGGCTGCCACGTACTCCTCTTGCGGTACTCAGCCTAACTTTTTAGCTAGGGGAATGCAGGGTCCAGATGACATCAAACCCTGGTATCTGTTTGGTTGTGTCCATGGTGTGAAAATTCGTTGAGCTCTTTGCTTATGTTAGCACATTTCTGAGTATATGCCACACCCCCCAAAGTAATTCACGTTTTAAATGTATATTAACCATAACCATAGAAATGCTCTCCCTGTCTCTTCTCCATCATTAAGTCTAAGTTAAGTATAAAGCAGGTAAAGGAAAGGTCCTCCAATGTGCGCTGGGATTCTAGGGCTGCAGGGCATGGCACGTTGCCTTTCAGAGAAGGCGGCGTGAGGGTTTCGGGGCGGGAGCAGACACTACAGTCCTGTCTCCCGCCCCTAATGTGCTGTTGCCTGTTCCTGTCTTGATTTCAGGCCTCATCTCTTCACCCACCGTGGGCTCACATTCAACAACTTGGCAGGTTTTAAATCTTGTCACATTTGTATTTAACCAACTTTAAGGAAAAATGTTTCAAACAAGAAAAAAAAAATGCTGTGTTTCTCTTCCAGGGTAATCCTGTACAAGGAATTCCTTCAGTTTTTTAACTTATCTAAGTATACCTTTTGACCATGACAGTAACCAATACATTTCTGAGATTGTATTTAAAGCTAATTAGGCAAATATAAACCCATTTTGTGATCCAGGCAAGGCTCTGGGCTGTCAAAGGCAGGATGCAGAGGGCCTGGCCAAGGATCGTGCAGCCCCAGGGCTCCCGGTGACCTCCGTGCAGCACACACAGAGTCTGCACCTGCTGCTTCTGGCTGGTCCCCAGATCCACAATGCGTCCTCCTCCAGATGGCCAGGAGCCTGGGAGGGGCTCCCCATCCTCTAACTTCTGGGGGCACTTGCAATGGAGGGTGAGATCAGGGTATTTTTCCCCAGCTTCCTTCCTGAGAAGTTGCTTCTGACCACTATGTCCCTTGAGCTAAGGTGACAGACAGTTCTTCTCCAGGTAGCCTTCTCCACAGGACTCTCTCAAGTTCCTATAACTACCAGCCCCCTTCACCCTGCCAGGTGTAGGAATCTAAGAGCCCCAGCTGTTATTATCACTTGTCGTTAGTCCCCTCATTAAATCCCTCTCAAGTTATTATAATCTGTGTATGCCATAG